TCCTTCTCTCTCTGTCTGTCCGTCCTTCTCTCTCTGTCTGTCCGTCCTTCTCTCTCTGTCCATCCGTCCTTCTCTCTCTGTCCATCTGTCCGTCTCTCTCTGTCCATCAGTCCGTCTCTCTCTGTCCGTCTGTCCGTCTGTCTCTCTCTGTCAGTCTGTCTGTCTGTCCGTCTCTCTCTGTCCGTCCGTCTCTCTCTGTCCATCCATCAGTCTGTCTCTCTCTGTCCATCCGTCTGTCTCTCTCTGTCCGTCTGTCTGTAGACAAAATTACTCAACTTATGAACAGATTTTCATGACACTGTTACCACAGGGGGATGTTGACCAAAGGAACACACCATTAAATTTCGGTGATGATCCGGATCACAATCTGGATCCAGGAATCTTTTGAAGGATTCTTCACCATTACAGGATAGGAGAAATTACACTTATTTCTCACCACGATAGTGTGAATGTTTTGTTGAAAATTTAAACTGTAACCTTCATGTTTATTTATTTGGAAACGTTTTTATGTGATACCTTCACTGTACGGGCACAGAATATGTCTACATATATGTAGAATGATACTGTGTTCTGACATTGATTCAATGTTATTGTTCTACTTGTGTTTTCTGATAAATATGTTGGAATAAATTGAATTTTTTCCATCATTTACTTTTATTTATGAATACATGCAACATGATCTTACTACATTTAGTATAAAGCATTGGACAGGTCACTTTTCCAAGTGGGATCCTTTTAGTATAATTGACCCTGTGGTCTTGGAGGTTTGCTCCGAGTGCTTCAAGTTTCCAGATAGTTTTTCTCTGTGCATCATTCAGTAACCATAGAAATGGCCTGGTCCCCTCAAATGGTCATCAATGAAGTTTACTATAAATTTGTTTATTTATTTAATGTTATTTAACCAGGCAAATGCCATTGAGATCACAGATCTATTTTGTGTCTACAGTGTACATAATTTTATGTCATTTTTGTATCATTACACAGGCGGAAACTATGATTTGTTTGTGATTTTATAAATATGCTTATATATAAATCTTATTTTCAGCCAAATTCTAACCGACAAAGAATATTTTTCATTAGCTGATGCAAACTTTGCAGCTTAATTTTTGCCACGTGGCTTCTTGTGGAAGAAGGTGAATGAAACACACCAGGGAGGACAGTGAAAACAATGTGTTGTTATGATATGGAATAACTCACTTTGCTGTGTTTAAACAACTGCTCTTGAGCAAGACGTTCTCGGATGTACAACTTAGCAAAAACAGCTGCGTGATAGATTTTTAAACAGCTAAAGAGCAGCTACAAGATGAGTCCAAAAAAGGTGCAGGCAGGCTTCCAGACCTTATGTAGGACAGATGAAGGTGTGAACCTGGGGGAAAAGGTAAACACTACATTGTGGGTATTTTGTGGAGTCAATAGGGTGGAAGGTCAAATCTAATCAGTGACTTTGTACATCTGGTCAACATTAGCGTTCAGCTCTGGAGGGTCAGCGGTTGAATTCTGTTCCACACTGACAGCAGGAACTGTGCCAGCTGATAATTAGATGAACAAAACCTGTCTGTGTTTTCTTTTAGTCTCATTCTGCCGTCATTTTGATTATAGGAGCATTTGTTCTTAGACAGATCTGAATAAATTACATCTGCAGCATCATTTAGCACTAACTCTAAAGCTTTGTTCTGTTTTCATGATGATACTTCTGAAACTGTGTTTTTGCCAGCAAATGCAACATGACAACTTTCAGGGGTCCACTGTTGGTTTGGCACGATGCTAATTCTTTTAGCAGAGGTGTCATCGTTACACCCGCCAGCAGGGCTTATCTGTAAATGAGCAAACTGTTTTTAACTGGTGATGAACTGATCACAGTGCAGACAAACTGGATCCAGTTCCTGACTGAGCTTTGATTCTGGGCCACTCCAACAAAGCAACACTCCTCTGTATTTTTTTACTTTAACTGCCACACAGCCTCTCCTGGAGAGGTTTGCTGGGATGTTAATTGAAGTGGAATTTGCAGAGATACTTTTGGAGATCCAGTAGTAGTTGGAGGAGGGAGACCAATCAGCTGTCCAAGCTCAAGACTGAGGCTGACAACTTTGTCAACTGGACAACTTTGTGCTGATCCGTTTGGTTAGGCAGGATTTTAAAGGGTCAATATCATGTAAAATCACCTTTTTTGAGTTTTATATCATGTTATAATGTTATACTCTCATAAAAAACATGCCCAAAGCCTTGCTCTGACTCATTCATCATGTTTGAGAAATCTTGCAGTGTTTTTATGAAGCCATGCTGAGGAGCAAAACGACAGGTGGGGACCAGAAACACCTTTTGGTACCAGAAACACCTCTGGGACGTGTCATTAAAGTGTAACTTACCCCCCTGTGAAAAGATAACTCCGCCCCAAGGCGAAATTTGAAAAATGCATCAAAGTGGGTAGGGG